AAATTCAAGAGTGAAAAAGGACTAAATAAATAGAAGAATATACAACAGAATATAATTAAGAAGGCATCAAAATGGGTTTAAGACTTTTGCCCAATTTATGCATTAACAAACATAAGGGATTAATAATGGAGAAACCATAAAGAAGTGGAAAGAGCAGGTCTAAATTTTTTAATCTCCATTATTAAATAAATCCATTGCTACACTATAAAATAAAACTATCAGAAAGAAAACCCATAGCAAAAATACAATAAAGAGGTGGATTTATATGATGCATTTGAGTACTGATTGCTGCCCTCTCTGAAGAGTGGATGGGGGTGAGGGGGGGAAAGGTAGAAGAAATGGGAGGAGGGGAGGGAATGGGAATTGAATTGGTATGGAAAATGAGAAAAGTTGTGGTTTTATTTTATTTTTATTGATATTTATTGAGTGCTACATTTTTCTCTGTTCCCTCTCTGCCTCTGCCCTCCCCGCTTCAACCATTCCCCAAGGTCTTCTTACTCCCAATTTACTCAGGTTAATTTGTCTTTTTCTGCTTTCTGCTTCCCATGTTGATTAGATCTATTTAAGCTTCTCTTAGTGTCTGCATTGTTGCCTTATACTCAGACACAGAAAGACAATTATCACATCTACTTACTCATAGATAGTTTTAAACATAAAGCAAAGAAATCCAGCCTACAAATCACAATCCCGGAGAAAAGTTATTTTTTTTTTAAGAAATACATTGTTAAAAATGTACAAACCACTTGAAGCATTTTGACTAAATCAGTAAAAATTAGTTTAAAATATGATTGTGTAATTTTCTCCAAAAAAAAGAGATACCAAGTATTTTTAAAAGAATAAGCAATCCACAATCCCAGAGAACTTAGACAAAAATGAGGGCACTAAGAGAAACTTACATAGTTCTAATCTACATGGGAAGTAGAAAAAGACAATTTTTTTCTGAGTCAGTTGGGTGCATGGGGACCTTGGTGGAGGGTTTAAGAAGGGAGGGGAGAGGCAGGGAGTGGAGTAGAGAAAAATGTAGAGCACAATAAAAATCAATAAAAAAAGAATAAATCAAGTCCTATAATATTCTTTATATCTTTAGATATAATGTCATAAGGATTCCAAAACCCTCTTATGTGAGGCATCTGCTAGGATGCTGTATATCATAACTCCCAGGGCTACCCTACATACATGCCCTTTCCATTTTGCTATTGTGGAACTCTGTCCTTCAAGAAGTACACTATAGTGTGACATTATCTGTAATGTTAACTAAAAACAAATGGGAGGGAACTATATTTCCATCAACTATGTTATATCATATTTCAATATATTACTTCACAAACAAAAATATGCATAAAGTAAAATTATATTATATAAAATGAATGTACTAAAGAGAAAGAAGAAAGACACAGGTTTGAATTGTCTTGATGAAAAAAAAAAGCCAAGGTTAATGGGAAACCCTCAAGTAATTCTCATGCGTTAGGCTTTGAGCCTTTACTCTTGATTTTTCATTCAAATGGTTTAAACAGATGACAATAGACAAAGGAAATTCTGTGTGCCTAAAAAATAAGAGAAAAGATAAATCATAAATATACAGAATATAAAAGGACACTGAAAATTTCTTCCATAAGAAATTTTCATATTAGTTTGAGGCAATTATATGTAGACTATGGAGAATTGAAAATTACTTTATTCTCATTACACTCATAAAACTTTGGGATATTTTGGTGAATCTATATGCACACAGACTACTTTGAACACACATTTTTGAAGTCACTTTTGTATATTTAGGAAAAGAACAAATGTAAGTAGAGAGAGGTATCAGTGTTGTGGACTCCATGAAAGCACGTGAAGTCTGCTCTCCCAGTATCATTTCAGCAGCTGTGCTAAAAACTAAAAAGACTAATACAGATGACCAAGTATTGCTCAATAAAAAATTAAAATAATAATAAAAAAGACTTAGAGTTTCTTCTAACAGAGATCACATTATTTTTAGCTAAGGGTAGGCTTCATCTGCTTACGTTTTAGTCACCTATCTCTAAAGGAGACATTGAAATGTTGAACTCATTCAGTTTTATAAACTTGGATTATGACAATAGTTTATATAAGTTTATTATGTAAGAAGGACTCGGCAGTATTCATCACATCTCTCTGCTCTTTGGGGAAACTCTTTGGTGACTTGTCACCCTTTATTGTATGTGTAGGGGACTGGTCAAACATGGCAAACATATCTTATGTCACCTATTCACATATTACACAGAGGTAATGCTCAGGAGTAGCCTTCATTGTTTATCAAGTAGCTTGGTGCACGCCTTTAATCTCAGCACTTAGGAGGAAAAGGCAGGCATATCTCTACACGTTTGCAGCCAGTCTGGTCTACCTGACTACAGGACAGGCTTCAAAAGCTATAGAGAAACCCTGTCTCTAAACCACTGCCCCCCCCAAAAAAAGAAAGAAACTTGAATTAAATTATGCTAACTTATGATACACTGGTCTACACTGGTTAATTTCCCCATTTTATATCTCGTTATACTAATAATTGAATCTCAAGAGGGACTGATTTCCTTGCTGTCACAATGATATTCCACAGAGATTGGTGCTTTGGAGATACACACATATAAAAAGTGTAGCATTTTCTGTAGTAGCAGAATATCACCAGGAGCAGAAGGTGGCATGTAAAGTATGCTTGACAGGTTAGTTGGCTGAATCTATATAAATGCCACATTCTGTGGTGGAATACACTAAAATAATAGTGTATGAGATTTAAAAGGTTAATTATCTTCCTCACTGTATAATTGTACCATTATAACATATAAAAATGGTTTACGTTTTGATTTTTTTGTTTTGTTGCTGTTGTTTTGTCTGAGACAGAGATTCTTTGTGTAACAGTCCCAGTTGTCAAGGAACTCCCTTTATGTACCAGGCTGGTCTGAAACTTGCAAAGTTTTGGTGGTCTCTGCCTCCAAATTACTGGAGTTAAAGGAGGACAACAGAACTCTAAACTTTTTGATACTTTGAGTTTTATACCTTGATTCTAGAGCATTCATTAGTACATACCATGCTATGAAAATGCAAGTAGGAGGATATACTCCATCCTTGGTAAGAGAATAAATCACAGAGAATGCTGTTTGCTCTGCTTAAAGACGTAGGACAGCTGCTGGTCTGAGAGGGAAACAATGTAAAAAATGGATGAAAGTGGCTTCTTGTTTCTTTGTCATTTAATTTATTTCTCACTCTTGGGAACCTCACCCATTCCATATGGTAGATGCTGTATAGTGATTTTCTCCCAGTCAATCAAACACTGGGAGTAGCAGTAAATAACCTTCAGCACGGTTCATGCAGGAGAGGAGACATAAGAACCATGTCTGAAGTAGAAGAGATGATTTATTTCAGTTTTAGGAAAGATATTTGATATGTCACTTTTATGCATTTTTTTCTAGTTCTAGGCCGAGGGACAGTTTTGTCTAGATCATACTTTGTGTAATGTATCTAGTGAAATCTAAAGTAAATGAGGAAATCAGTAGCCTTTTCCATTAGGCGTTACCAGACTCCCTTCCTGCTGTGACAGCAGAAACTCTCCATGGGCACTGAGAGATACCCTCTTGTGTCACATTCCTTACTAGTAAAGAAGCAGTGCTTTTAGGAAATCAGAAAGATATTCTTTCATCATTAGCCCTTTTAATGGCAAAGCATTTTTAAAATTATGTTTCCTTGAGGAATGAATCCCCGCCAAAGCAGAACAATGGCATGTGTTCACAATTAGACATGTTAATGAATATACCTTCATGTTTTATAAATCAGATGATAAATTGAAAAAAGCTTGTTTCTGTTGTTCTCTATATTCTTTCCTCCACAAATGTGTTATTGGTACCTCAAGGATATTTCTATCAGGATCAGGGCAAGTGCACATGAAGGGACTTTCTACATATTTGAACTTCAAGTTCTTAAATAATCCCAACTTTCTACACAGCTATAGCCTGCAAGTTTTCTTTAGAATCTGATCATGTTATAAATCCTTTACCGAATCATAATATGAATAAAATTATTTATGTTCAAAGGCAAAACCAAATCATATAGTTTATGTGTACAGTGTTTATTCTATATCCATTAAGTTTTTAACTTTTTTCCATTCTCTCCTACTCTGTGCAATTTTATTAAACTAGTTTATCAAATTAAGTGATATGTTTTTTCATATCTAACAAATTTTTCTAATCATCCTCAATTCATCTTGATTTATAAATTATAATAGCTCAAATAACTTACATTTATCAGCTACCAATTGTCTTATGGACATGCTCTACATCTTTAATTAGTTTTCTCAAAATATTTGATGCAACATATTTGTTTTTAAAAGGTATTTAATTAAAAAGCTGAAGTGTCATGAATATAAAAAGGAAGTTGGCACACAAGAATATTTATTCCATGAACTACGGATTGAAATAAATCCTAAAATTAACCAAATCAGAGTAATTAGTTCACAAAGACAACTGATAACTTAGAAACTAAGCCTGTTCTTTTATTTTAAAACAGTTTAGGAAAGCCAATAACTCATGACATCAGTTATTTAAATTTTTCTGGAGAAAGTGGAGGCTAGCTCCAAACGTAGACCTCATTTCCCAGGGTCCTGGTGTCTAAAAGATTGGCTGATGAGAATTCAGGGTGAATGGAAACTGAATTTTTGAGAAAAACATGTGAACTAACAAGTAATAATTAATATTTCTTTTTAATTTAAGGTCATAACTACAATTTGAAAAAAAAGTTAATAAGATAATCAAGTATAATGCACAGCTTCTAATTTTGCTTTGATTGCTGAATTAAACTCTTGACTTTAAGAACTTCTATTATCAAGGCCTTAGTCAAGGCAAAATACAGATAAACATTTTCTTATATCTTTACAGATATTTACTACAACTCCGCATCCAGAATCTGTTTCTAGGAGAGAGGTTAAACTACATTTTAAAGCACACATAAAGAATAATATAGTTCTTGTCTCCACCCAATTTTAAATGTAACACATGGTTGAGGGAAACTGCACCTCTGTGGCACAATTCATTCTCCAGGGATTTTCAGATGTCCCTGAGTTGAGTGCTGTCCTGTCTCTGGTGTTTCTTCTCATTTATGGTGTCACTGTCTTGGCCAACCTGGGCATGACTGCCTTGATTCAGGTCAGCTCTCAACTGCACACCCCCATGTACTTCTTCCTCAGCCATCTGTCCTTTGTGGATTTCTGCTACTCCTCCATCATTGTGCCTAAAATGCTGGCTAACATCTTCAATAAGGACAAAGCCATATCGTTCCAAGCATGTATGGTCCAGTTCTATCTGTTTTGCACGTGTGTAGTCACCGAAGTCTTCTTGCTGGCTGTGATGGCCTATGACCGCTTTGTGGCCATTTGTAATCCACTACTCTACATGGTCATCATGTCCCCAAAACTCCGCATGGTACTGGTGTCTGGCTGCTACCTCTGTGCATCAGTGTGTTCTCTCATTCACTTGTGCTTAGCCCTTGAGATCCCGGCATTTAGTTCAAATGTCATCGACCACTTCTTCTGTGATCTGCCTCCTCTCTTAAGTCTGGCTTGCTCTGATGTCACTGTTAATAAGGTGCTGCTGTTTGTTGTAGCCACCTTCAATGAGAGCTTTAGTATTGTGATTATCTTCACCTCCTACTTGTTTATTCTCATCACCATCCTAAGAATGCGCTCTGCAGAGGGGAGACGTAAAGCCTTCTCTACCTGTGCCTCCCATCTCACAGCCATCACCATCTTCCATGGAACAATTCTTTCCATCTATTGTCCGTCCACTTCAGAAAACAGTGGGGATGCCAACAAAGTGGCCACAGTGTTCTACACTGTAGTGATTCCTATGCTGAATCCCTTGATCTACAGCCTGCGAAACAAGGACGTGAAAGGTGCTCTCAGAAAAGTTGTAAACTCTAAGATATATTCCTAATGAACATTGTATTGTCAGTGTGCAGAATTCTCTGGTAGATATTGGCAGAGAGATTAATAGATGAAACAAGGTTTTGCTACAAACTGAAGATACAAGGCATTTCAGAGTGACTTTTTCTTTTGTGGTTTTCTTTTTCTATTTGTGACTCTTAAATTACAGGCAAACATTTAAAAATACCACAATTGCTTTTAGACTATTGGAAAATATGCAGCTAATGGAAAATATGCAGATTTATAAAGAAAAAATTGTATTATTGGATAATGCAAATAATTTTTTTCAATTTTATTGATGTGTGTGACTCTGTATGTGATCTGTAAATATGAACGTAGTGTTTACAGAGAACAAAACAATCTTAGTCTTCTGAGACACCTGATGTGTGTCCTCATTATGGTTCTCAGGACATCTAAAAGATAAGAAAGGCATTGTAACTGCTGCGTCAGCTCAACAGTCTGTTTACAGGGCATAAAACATGCATAAGAAACCTTGAATTTCTAGAAAATAAATGCTTCCAGCTCATTTTCATTATGTCTATTAAATACTGTCATTGTGGAGAAATTTAGTAGAATGTCTCTTCATTGTTTTATATCTAATTCTGTGCTCATGCTAACACTGCTGCTGGTGAAGTAATTGACATCACCTCAGTTCTTACTCTATTCGTATATACACATACAGCTTCCGTTCCATTAAAGTTGTTCTTTGTTGATTGCATACACAGAAACATCACACACACACACACACACACACACACACACACACACACACACATTGCTTTCTCATCACTGTCAACCCATTTGGTGCAAGTTCTTTGGTCCTTATACTACCTTCTTGCTACATATCTCTTTATATGTTCATGATTTTTTTTAAAGGTAACAAAGAATTTATATTAATGTTTCCCCAGAGAATATATACAAACAACCAATAAGCACCTGGGGAAAGATGGGCAACATTATCCATCACTGGTACATACAATTCAAAGCTACTGTCAGATAATACATTAGAGCCTCTGGGTGGGATATTGTATTAGATCCACTGGCTTCTGGGAAGTGCATAATCCTTCACGTAGGGTAACTCCAATTAAAGTCTATTATATGGAAATATATCTAGGAAGTTCATAACATAGCTGGTTTCATAAGAAGTTTTCAAATGTCCTTAAGCATTAATTATCTCTCCCTCACCACCTCCACTGCTCCACCCTTTCATCTCCCAACTTAAACCTCCCTCCTCATTGTTGCCATTTTCTTCTTCATGTCACTTGTGAATGCAAGTTTTAGAGTATATTAAAACCTACTGACATATACTTTAAAAGATTAATTAAAAAATTAATAAATGTTCATGATTTTTATCTTGTCCTTTGTGACTCACAAAGTTCAGTCAGGGCCATCAATATGATCATGGGTTTGAGACTATCCACTGGAGCATGATACTTCATTGGTGGCTTTGAACTTGAAGACAGTATCTTTATCCAGATATTGTCTATCTCTAGTCATGCATAGTCAATTTATGGCCCATAGTTCAACTCACACCTCTCATCAATTTTCATGTTTCTCAGCCACATTCATTTTCAGTTCTGTCTATACCATTAACAGTTTTGTATTATACCTTAGCATTTATTCCAATTTGTAAAGTACCATCAGTTGTTGATAGAAGACTTTCTCCTTGTATCTATGATGTTATTAAAGCAATGGACTGGAGTTTAGGGAAACCAGGTTGGTGTTTTGAAACTTAAGAAATACAAAGATACCAGTAATTATTGTTCCATTCAATTTTCTTCTAAAATTTTCATGCTTTTTGTATTCACAATTCAAATTACTGCTACTGTTTCCTGTTTCTTATGAATTTTAAATAGATATTTATGAGGTAATCATCAAATGAACATTTCCAATATAAATGCTAGCATTATTTATTGAGTTTAAAGTTTAAAACATTCCTGATAACAATGCTGATACTTAAAAAAAATCCCTTGTTATCACCATCAGCATTTATACTTGGACATAATTCACCATATAATTCATAATTCACATCTTGGTAGATATCCCAAAGTCTCCTTAAGATGTGTTTTTGGAATGCATTTGCATTAAAAATTACTTTGCTTGACATGACGTTTTGCACATGGACATCTTGAAAGGCATTACATCCATTTAACAGTACAGCATTGAGGCTTAGATTGACATTTTAAAGCCAGAAGAACACCCAGGTAGAGCAGAAGATGTGCAGGGTCGCATCTGATGACATACAGCTTTCCATCTACAAGTCATAACACAGTGCTAACATCTCTTTGAGTTTATACCTTTGTCCATAGATTCAAGCAGATGGAGAGTCCAGAAGCCAAAATTTTGTCATTTCTAGAAAATTATTTTGATTTTCTCAATGATTTCTCACTGTTTTTCCTTTGTAAGTCTAGTTAGTATAAAGATTACACTATATTTTGGTTGACTATGATGAAGTTTAAGTGAAATAGTATTTATACAAATTTTAGAAGAATCTGAGTGTGCATTATTATTATTATCCACTTCTACTCAACAGCATGTGGTCCCAGCTGTGTGTTAAAATATTTCCTAACAATATGATAAAGGAGAACCTTATGAGAAATACTCATGCAATGTGAATTATAGTTCACACACACACACATTATATATTGAGCCCATTTAATTGAATGCAGCTTGTATGTTTCCAGGACTGATAACTTTGTATATTTTAAGATATGTGACAGTTAGACATTTTATTTATGGTTTGATATACCCATAATATTTATACATATTTGGGGGAATTATGATGTTTTGATTGCACACATATATTATTTAATTATCAAGTCAGAGCAATCCACCTGTTCTGCATACAATTCAAGTTTGTCTTATAGTGAGAACACTGAGCTTTGATTCTTAGCCACAGCAGTGAGGCAGAAGCCAAAGAGTCACACTGCTCTCTGTAGCTGCCTAAGATACCTTTGCAGTGATCTTCTCTCAGATAATGCTGGGAGTCTTAACTTCCCTGAAGAAAAGAATTGTCTAATGATCAGTATGAAGTAGAGTTGGAATTTATTTATTGTTCAGACAATGAATAAACCACACCTAACTGTGGGTGCATTCAACAGAGTGTCTCTGTCAAGTGTCTTTATGAGAATTTCTGTGGCTTCTGAAATTACATTGCAAATCCTTCTTACGGAAACATAGATTTGATAATACTTCTAGTAATAATAGCCACTGGATAGGCTTACTGTTTAAAGATAAATCACTAGGCCCCTTGGGTTGTTCTTAAGATTAAATATTTTCTTTCTATGTAAAACTTCAGTGTTTTGTTCATGAGATTTCCAGAAATTTCCAGGAAATTTTTATCTAGGAAACAAGTAAGGGGTTTATTAGTAGGGTTAATAGACTTAGACACAAGAACAACTCATTAATATTTTAACACTTTATTTGAAAATATCTCCAGTTAAGGGATGTTATTTAATCTTTATAATTGTAAAATTCAGTTCAAATGATGTTGTCTTTTTACATACACTTTATCTTATTTTATTGCCTTCGCTAGGCTATAGCTCCCTAAATCTGGGTGGTTCTACAGAGAATAATTTATAGTCTTCTAGGACATACATCTTTAGTTCAGCTTTATTACCTCTCTTATGGCACAGAAGTTAGTTTTTGCCTTACATAATAGATCCTTTTCCCTGGAGTTTAATTTACAGAATAAACACTCTGCTTCTGAGAAATGCTTAAAATCTCCCGTGCTGGGGAGAAATGTCTCAGGTTTGTTCAAAAGCAAAAGGCTTCTAGTTACCTGAATATGGAAATGGATACATCTTATTGAAATTTTCATTTTAAAATGTGTCTTCCTTTCCTGTGTTCTAATGGAGGTTGCACATGAGAATGCTTCAGCTTTACAATTGACAGGGGAAAGATACTTGGTGTTTTATGGAGAGACAGGTGATGATAAATGAGAACCGATTCTACTAATAGCAAGCATGAAAAGTTTCAGACTACAAAAATGTAAGAAAGCCTTTTGCCTTTGTCAGTCTCTCCCTGTTTTCCTATCTCTGTTTTTTTTATCTCTCTGTTTCTTTCTCTCTCTCTTTGTGTGTTTGTGTTTTACTCTTTTTTTTCACTTTTACCAACTTACTTCATGAAATCTATAACTTCTGCCAAAGAATGAGCTTCTTTTTGCCATAGGAAATGCAAATCAGGATGCTGGACTGTCTCTATAAACTAGTCATGCAGTTAGGTCTTGTGAACTTTGTTTGCTTGGAAACTGATAAGTATTTTGTGATCAATTAAATTTGAATTTATCATAAGATAACTTCATGTTATCAGCAGAAAAAAATAACAAGCATGATTTCCAGGATTTTTCAATCTTATCAAGAAATTTTTTTTCAGGCCAGGCAGAGGAAGGCAGATGATTGTGAGTTTGAGGCCAGCCTGGTCTACAAGAGCTAGTATCAGGACAGGCTCCAAAGCAACAGAAAAACCCTGTATTGAAAAAATCAAATTAATAATAATAATAATAAATATAAACAATAAAAAGAAATTTTTTCTTCTTTCCTATTATCTTTTTTATTACTGATTTTATTGAGCTGTACATTTTCTATGTTCTCCTCCCTCCCTCTCTCCTCCCCTTCTACCCTCTCACATGTTCCCTTGCTCCCATTTATTCAGGGGATCTTGACTTTTTGTACCACCATATAGATTAGATCCATGTATGTCTCTCTTAGGGTCCTCATTGTTGTCAAGGTTCTCTGGAACTATAATTGTAGGCTGGTTCTCTTTGCTTTATGATGTTTAAAAGCCACTTATGAGTGAGTACATATGATATTTGTCTTTCTGGGCCTGGGTTACCTCAATATGTTTTGTAGATCCATCCATTTGCCTGAAAATCTCAAGATACCATCATTTTTTCTGCTGTGTAATACTCCTTTGTGTAAATGTACCACATTTAATGAATGTTTTTAAATTATTTTTGTTTTTGTTTGGGAGATTATAATTTAATTACAATTCTCCCTTTATACCCTCTCA